TTTTAACCCTTTAATGGACAAAACATTCCTCCATCTATCACACTTCCCAGCTGCATTCCCTGCCCTGGACACGCTCCAGCCCCTCCATGTCTCCCGTCAGGAGGGGCCCGGAGCCGCCCCCAGGGCCGGCGGTGCCCCGTGGAGCCAGCCCCGGGCACGATCGGTGTCCCGGGCCGGTCCCGCAGGGGCCGAGCGGGGCCGAGCCGGGCTCCTCCCGCGGCGGGGCCGGCCCGGCCTGAGGGGGCGGCCCGGGCGCGTTTGGCGCCATCGCCGCCATGGAGCCCGAGCGGCTGCGGCGCCGCCTCAGCTCCGCGTTCCGCCTGCGGGGGCTCGTCCTGCGCCCGTGAGTAGCGCCGGGCCCGCCCCGGCCCCGCTCCGGCCCCGGCCCCGCTCCGGCCCCGGCCCCGCTCGGCCCCGGCCCCGCTCCGGACCGGCCCGGGCGGGCCTCGGGCCCGGGCAGCGCCGGGGCGCGGTGCGGCCGCGGCCGCTCCGCATCCCCCGCGCCGCCGCCTTTCCCACCTCTTCTTCCTTGCCCCGCATCCAGCTCTGGAGGCTCCTCCAGAGCCATCCCGCCTGTCCTGCTGGTGCAGGCCGCTTTTATCCATCCCTCTCACGGCCCTGGGTGCCACCAAAAGCTGCCCGTGGTCTCCGCTTGGAGCCCTCCCTGATGTTGGTGCCGGGTGTTTGGTTGAGTTTTTTTGTCTGCCTCGGACCCTGACAGCTCTGGGATCTGAGTTCCACTTGCCAGTCTTGTGCTCAGCATTCTTTGCTAGAGGAAGGGATGGCATTTCCAAAGACAGGAATGGTGTATTTTCAAATATAATGGGATGTATTATTTAGAGATGCTAAGGTCAATTAAAAGGGATTCCTGCTTGCAGTGGGAGGTGTCATGATTTATAAGAGACTGGGTTTCCCATCGCTCTTACTTTCCCTTTCTTTCTCGTGTGTGTTAATATCCATTCAATTAGCTTTCTGTTGTGGTTGGAATGTGATTCTTTAGGATACCTTCATTAGAGAGCAGCACAAGTCCAGAACTCCTGACACCACAGTTCCATGAGCTGAGACGTTTTGAAGGTCAGGCTGATCACCAAAATGCCACTTTGGTTGGCTAACAGATGACATTAACAAGAAATTTTTTATATTTAATGCAAGACTCTTGTCTAAGGCTGAGGGGAAAACCAGATTTCTAAATCTTGTGTTATTGAGAATGAAAATAACTTCTATTTCAAATATATTGATAAACTGGAGCAGGTCCTGTGGGAGCTGTTGAGGTCCTGGGCTGGAGGCCAGGAAGAGCTGGAAGCTGCTCTGGTGACATCCCAGCTTCAGGGCTACACATGGATTTGGAGTCCAGAATGAGAGATGTGGAGCTGCTGGAGCGAGTCCAGAGAGGCCATGGAGCTGCTCCCAGGGTTGGAGCCCCTCTGGAGCCAGGCTGGGAGAGCTGGGAATGTTCCCCTGGAGAGGAGAAGCTCCAGGGAGAGCTCAGAGCCCCTTGCAGGGCCTGGAGGGGCTCCAGGAGAGCTGGAGAGGGGCTGGGGACAAGGATGGAGGGACAGGACCCAGGGAATGGCTCCCAGTGCCAGGGGATGGGGATGGATGGGAGATTGGGAATTGGGAATTCCCAGAGAATTCCCAGATGCTGGGGTGGAATTCCCAGATTTGTTGTGGCTGTCCCTGCATCCCTGGAAGTGTCCCAGGCCAGGTTGGACACTGGGGCTTGGAGCAGCCTGGGACAGTGGGAGGTGTCCCTGTTGTAGGCAGGCAGTTGGAATGGGATGAGCTTTGAGGTCTCTTCCCAGCCAAACCATTCTGGAATTCTGTGATTAGAGGGTCAGAGAACGTGGCATGGAGAGGATGTGAAGGCTTTGGGTTTATTTAGCCTCAAGAAGGGAAGATTCCTGAGGACTTAATCCCAGTCTTCCTAAAAGTGAGAGGTGTTCTCAAGGATGCACAGTGACAGGGCAAGAGACATTTAATTCTTCATTGTAATAGTAATTAAACTTTGAAGTTGATGGAGTAGGGAAGTGCTGGAATCTCCCTCACTGGAAGTTCTCAAGGCTTGTCTTCACAGGGCCCAGGACAGCATAACCCAAGCCCTGCTTCCAGGAGAAGGTTGGACCACAGGGTCTTCAGAATTCCCTTCCAACATGGAATTTTTTAAGTGAAGCTGAGGTTCTCCACATCTTTTCCCTGATATTTTCAATCTCAGTGATTTTTTTCTTTGACTTTAAACCCACGTGCTGTTATGCAGAACTAATTATTTCTGCTTTTTAACAAACCACGTGGTGATGATGTGCACACCTGCCAAAATCAGCACAGTTTGTGTCAACTATGGAATATTAATTGCTTTTTGTGCTTTCTCCTCTGGGATTAGGGATGCCCTGAAGTATCTCACTGAAGCTTTCCAGTCCACCAGGGAGGGACAACTTGACGATATAATTGAAAATGTCATCGATGCAGTTGAAAAACAGCCTTGTAAGTAAACAATTTCTTTTTCTTGAGCCGGTTTTCCTGGCATTTCTGATGTGATCAAGGCAGTTACAGCAGAGCCACTGAGGTGTCACTGCAGTGTAAAGGGTTGATTGAGATAAATGTATTTTTTGGCCTTTTATTTTGTCAGCAGAAGACATTTGTGCCAAGTAAACAGTTGACAGTGCAGAATATCCTGACTTTTCCAAGAGTAGTAGCATTTTTCAGTGACAGTCATTAAGAGTTTGTCTGGACATCTTTGTACCTGAAACTGTAATTTTAAATATAAAAAGTGGAGACAGACTATTTACACATGGAGGGACAGGACACAGGGAATGGCTTCCCACTGCCAAAGGGCAGGGTTAGATGGAATGTTTTGAAGGAATATTTTAAGGAATATTTTGAAGGAATTCTTACCTGTTAGGGTGGGGAGGCCTTCAAACTAATTTCAATTAAATGGAAACAACAATGCACCCATCTCCAGAATTGTGTAGGAATACTTAAGGCAGCAATCCTTGTGATAATGTTCTGGAACCAAATTAACCTCCAGAATGTGAAAGCTCTGCTCTAACACTTTTGTGATATATTTGGCAGCTCTGCATAAACTGTAATTTGGTTCAATTCCTTTAGTAAATATTTCCCACCATTCCTCTGATTCCACCCCTAATTACCCTTTAGACTTTTTAGTAATTAGTAATTGTCTTGTAATTGTCTTGTTCTCCATGTTTGGGGAGTTCAGGGTGGGCACAGGGTATTTTTTTCCCTAGGAATTTGTCCTTTTGGTGGCAATATTAAGTGAGCCATCTGTGTGTCATTACAGAAAACATGAATTATTTGTGTGTATTCCATTAAGGGGACTCAGCCATTTAATGTAGTGAAATATTGGGCACCCGCTTCCTTCCCTGCTGCAGGTTTTATCCTTGGGATTTTTCTTTGCAGTGTCATCCAACATGATTGAGCAGCCCTTGGTGGAAGCAGCTGTCCAGGAATGCAGCCGGGCCCCGGATGAGGCAATGTAGGGTGACATTATTAAATTTTATGGGAACTTCTGGGAGCTGCTGTCATTTCCTTGTTCCTCCTGGGGAAAGGAATGCCAGGCCTTGTCTGCAGTCATTGCTCTGTGCTTTTGCCTTCCTGCTGCTGCCTTTGCACCAGTGATGCTCAGGTTTTAGCTTTTGTATTTTTTTACATTCTGTGCTGCTTTAGTGTGCAGTTCTGAGCTTCACATGAGGGGATGGTGAGCTCTCTGCACAGAACAGGGAGACAAAACAATTCCTGCTCCAGCTGGGCACCAAGGACAAATGATCCAAATCTCAGCCCAGGAGCACAAACACCATGGGCTGGAGAGAGAAAAACAAGCAGGGTGGGACTGCCTGGGCTAAAGCTGGAATAATTGTGACATCTTCAAATCCTGGCTGATGTGCTTTAAAAAAGCCTTTGACTATTAAAAGCCCCAAAAGTGAAGAAGAGAAAGAACAGCTCAGTGCTGGAGGAGAGTCACTGCTTTACTCTAGGAATCATTAATAATCAGAAGGAATGAGATACAAAAAACCCCAAACATTTCCAGGTTCAAAAAGCTTTATTAACACACACTGACACGTGCAGGGATGAACTGAGCTTGCAGCAAATGTGGGGGATTTTTTGTAGTTTGTAAAGACCATTTTATCCTAGGGGTGAAATGCTTCAAATGGTTAAAACCAAGTGGTGATTCCCCAGGTTTCAGCTTTTATATTTTTCAGATTCTGTGCTGCTTTAGTGTGTGGGTCTGGGCTCCAGATCAGGGGATGCTGAGCTCTGTGCACAGAGCAGGGACACAAAACAATTCCTGCTC